GGCTGGAGAAGTTGGGTGTCGGCGGGGAGGACGTGGGAGGCGGGGAGGGTCTGGGTAACGGGATTTTGAGGATTCGGTTCATTGAGGCAGAGTGAGACATCCTCTCATAACCCCGGCTGGGTGGGGAGGAGGGCGTGTGTGTGTGTCTGTGTATGTGTGTATGTGTGTGTGTGTGTGTGTGTGTGTGTGTGTGAGTGTGATATAGGTGGGTCTCTGGGGTTCCCCATACCGGCTGCAGGGACTTGGTCCCCAAAATTAACTAACTCACTGGTGTTGGAATGGAGCGGGCGCGAGGTGGCACCGGCGCGGGCCGGGTCTCAGGCACCGAGGGGCTGCGGAGGACCGCGTCTGTCACGCTCCCTGTTACCCTAAATGCGGGTTATTTTAAGATCTGAAGGTTGTGAGTGGCACGAGGGAGATTCTTAGAGCTTCTTAATAGACTCTTGGAGTAAAGCTGAAAACGGCGGAGGTTCTGATGGGTGAGGCAGGTCTTGTATAAATGGAATTTTATCTAAAAAAAAAAAAAAAGAGAGAAGCCAAGCAGCCCAGGCTTCTATCTTCTGTCATGTATAGCAACAGTGCTAACATCTGCCCGGTGATCGCAGTGACCTACTTAGCGTACAAAGATTCTACAGCCTGGTCATTACCTTGTTACATTGTCAGATGAGTCCCTTTCCAGCGGGAGGGTGCAGGAGCAAGAGGTTCTTTTATTTCATTTTTACAATGTATTTATTGAGGGAGAGATCCTGAAAAGCCCTGGGCAGGTGTGGGTGCCTCTGTTGGCCGGGTGATGTACTGTCCCGGGGCACCACTGCCCAGGCAAGGGCCAGCTTGCTTGCCCTGCAGAAACACAAAGTGTGAATGTTCCTAAAATAAGAGCATGGGCAGGGGAGGGGGGCCTATGTTAGTTACCTATATGTCTTTATCCTAATGCGGTTGTTGAAATGCACTCCGAGTCTGACATTTTTATCAGTTACTTTTTTTTTTTCCTCCCAAGAAATGTTTTTTTGTGGGTGGGCGACCGTGGCTTTATTTTGTTGGTCACAGACTTTCCATGGTTAAATATTCACCTGGAGCCATGCGCCCTTGTCACTGGGCATGTTGCTTGTGGCAGAGGAAACAAGTTGAGGGCTCCATGACTGAGGGGAGCTGACATTACAGAGCGTTGGTGACCTTCAGAAAGCGGGGAATGGCTGGAGGTGTAGCTCAATCGGTAGACAGCCTGCCCAGACAGCTCAGGGCGCCAGGGCCAAACCCCAGCACAGAAAAGAAAAAGAAAGAAGGAAGGAGACACAGAGAGAGAGAGAGAGATGCTTAAAAAGAAAGCCAGAGCCAGGTGCTGGTAGTTCACACTTTGTCATCTAGCTACTCAGGAGGCTGAGATCTAAGGTTCATGGTTCAAAGCCAGCCTGCGCAAGAAAGTCCATGAGACTTTTTTTTTTTTTGGTTGGTCGTGGGGCCTGAACTCTGGGCCTGGGCGCTGTCCCTCAGCTCTTCAGCTCAAGGCTAGCGCTCTACCACTTGAGCCACAGTGCCACTTCCGGCTTTTTTTTTTCTTTTTGATTATGTGGTGCTGAGGAATCGAACCCAAGGCCTCAGGCATCCAAAGCAAGTGCTCTACCACTGAGCCACCTTCCCAGCCCTCCATTAGACTCTTATCTCCAATTAACCCCCAAAAAGCTAGAAGTGCTGCTTAGCTCAAATGGTAGAGCGCTAACCTTGAGCTGAAGAGCTTAGGGACAATGCCCAGGCCCAGAGTTCAAGCCCCAGGACTGACAAAAACAAAAACAAAAAACCAGGTATCACTGACTCACACCTATAATCCTAGTTTCTCAGGAGGCTGAGATCTGAGGATTGTGGTTCAAAGCCAGCCAGGGCAGGAAAGTCCATGAGACTCTTTATCTCCAGTTAACCACCTAAAAGCCACAGGTGTGAATCTGTGGCTTAAATGAAGGCTGGGAAGGGCCTGGGCTGCAAATCTCTGATGGCCAAGTTAAGAGTTTTCCAGATGTTCCAAAGCTCCTGGGCCTGGCTGCTGAGGGGCAGTGCCACTGAGAGCTGAGGGTCTCCACGCCGTGCACCTGCCAGCTGCTGGGTGCTGGGGCCTCGGCCTTGCAGTCTGGAGCTGCTGGTGCCAAGGGAGGTGCACTAGGCTTAGCCACCATTTCTACACCGACGGCGCCGTGTCAGGGATGAGGGTGAAGTTAAACTTACCAGAGACCCCGCTCCTCAGAGAAGCCTGGCGATGGTGGTGACGCTGGCAGTGGTGACGGCTGTGGGTGTGTGAAGGGGACCCAGGGACTCGCAGAGAGCCAGCCGTCTGACCAGGCTCAGGACTGACTTGGGCTGTGGAAGAAGAAAGGCCCAGAGCGCTCTTCCCTCCCGAGCAGCTATTGTTAGACCTCGGAGAAAAGGAGAGGAGATGGCGCTGACCTGGATTTGGTCCTCGTGGCCTGGGAACAGCCGAGGGCGGGGTCTAGAAGAACGGCTTCCTGCAAGGACAGGGACAAGGTTTTTTGTCACTGTGGTTTAGAAACGTGGCTCTCTGCCATTGGAGCCTGTCACCGAGGTCACCGAGGTCACCAAGGTGGCCGGAGGAGTTCATGTGCTCATTTCGAGTGGGAACCTCATTTTTCCCCTTGACACCTTGACACTTATGGATGGTACTAGTACACTATTGTTATTGTTATTACAATAACAATTATTGTTATAATTGCTATTATTGTTATAGGTTATTATTTTGGCTGTACTGGGATTTGAACTCATGGCCTTGAGCTCATTAGGCGGGCTCTCTACCACTTGTGTAGTAACCCATACTAGAGTTTGTATTTTGATCCCTCCAGGCAAGAAATACTCACTTGAATTGCACTTGGTTCAATCTTTGGAAGCAAAAAAAAAAAAAAGATCAAGAGAAAAATGACAGACGTGAGAGTTGAAATGATCTAGCTTGCCATTTATTTAAGGAGCTGTTGTTAAGATACTACCTGTTTGGCCCTGTTTTCCATTTTACGGGTGTAAGGGGAGGAATATAGTAATGCCCTTACCTACCCTCCCCCCCCAATCCCCATAGTTGGAAAGAGAATGGTTGGTCTACTCTGTAGAAACATGTGTCTGAGGGGCAGGCAGCAGTGTAATGTATAGGCAAAAGGAGTGATTCAAAACATTGTCATCGGTTCCTGTGAGAGGATTATAGCAGCTTATCCCTGAGCTTAACTTAGAACCAAACTATTCCAACCTTATTTTATGAATGAGGAAGCTGGATGTGTAGTCACTCGCTGAAGTTCTGTTCTAGTTGTAATGACCTATAGGTTGTTTCCAGCTCTTTGTTTAGCATAGCCTGTAACACATATGCAGGAATATGTACACGTAGTTATCTATCGAAGGACTTTGGAAGATGGCTAGAAGAGAGTTAAATGGAGTGGTCAGACCAAGGAACCTCCTGTTCCTTCCTAAGTCCACTGTTCCTGCCATTTTCCTCCCACTCTGCCTTCCTGCCATTTCCCCATCTGACATAAACTCCTACTCCTCATCTGCCCATTCCTCTCCTCCAAGGGCATTCTCTTCCATGAGTTGTTTCCCCACCAGCTCATGAAGGAGGGATATGGAAGTCAAGAATAACAAACCTACTTACCCGGAGACAGATGTGTGTGTGTGCGTGTGTTCATGCATGCGTGTGTGTGTGTGCATGTACATACATGCACACGTGTGCATGCACTGGTATGGAGTCTCTACTTTAGATGTTCGGGGTTTTTTTGCTCCAAGGTTGGCCCAGCCCCCTTGAGCAACACCTCTGCTTCCAACTTTTTTTTGCTGGCTAATTGAAGAGAAAGACTTGGGATTTTTTTTTTTCTGCCCTGCATAGCTTTGAACTTTGATCCTCAGCTCTCTACCTCCTGAGTAGCTAGGATTACAGGCGCAAGTCACCCATGCCCAGTCAGCCAAAGATTTGTTATTTATTTATGACAAAGTCTCCAGAGCAAATTGGAGAGCGAAAATCAGGTTATGTCTGTGGCTGTGTCCGGTTCTTCCGGAAGCATCTCTGTTGGGAGAGGGACCGTTAACAGGAGATGAGGGAAGATTCCAGCACTGCTGGCAAGCACTAAGGGAAAGCAGCTCTCCCAGTGAAAGCTGGCCGTCTGGCCCTGGCTCTTACTAGAAGTTGTCTTGCTGCTCTTTGCACAAGATGCTTTAAAGCATCCTCAGGAACCTGGTGCTCAGCAGGTGCACTTCAGCATCTGCATTGGAGCCCCGCCCTTCTCCTCCCTGCACAAAGAGGCTGCTGCTTGTTGATCCAGCAACTGCAAACTGGGCTGAAGTAGCCCGTGGGTTTGGCCGAGGGGAAGGCCAGCCCGGGACGCTCCCGGTCAGTCTGTGGTGCATGAGAATTACAGTGATTAAAGTTGGTTTAAGGCCCACACAGGACGCTAGCTGTTATGTGTACACTCCGAGTGGGATTTTTGCCTGCAGAAGGTTTACAGGCACATTTAGCATCGGTGATTCTCCGGTGGTGGGGTGCAGGTGGGGGACTGTGGAGACGGCGCAGGTTCTCCACCATCGGTGTTGCTCCTGCGTCTCCGGCGCTGCCTGCAGGCGTGAGGGCAGACATTCACGGTGTTCTGGCGTCTTCTCCTTGCAGTGCATGAGGGCAGCCCCCTGGGCGAGCTCCACCGCTGCATCCGGGAGGGGGTGAAGGTCAACGTTCACATCCGCACTTTCAAGGGGCTCCGGGGCGTCTGCACCGGCTTCCTCGTGGCCTTCGACAAGTTCTGGAATATGGTAACTAACCTTGCTTGATGTTTCGGCCATTTTATTCATGAAAACCTGTAGAGTAGCTTCTCAGAAGAACCGGAATTTGTGTGCAGTCTTGGGCAAGAACACCAAGAAGTTACTACTTCCGAGGCTTTCTTAGAGCAGACATCAATCAGCCAGTGCAGTCTCGCTCTGCCCCGCCCCCTCCTACAAACATCTGGCAATGTCTGAGGGTTTCTCTTCTGTCACATCTGGGAGGCAGGGCTGCTGGCCTCCACGGGTAAAGGGCAACGTCCAGTAACGTAAAAATTACGCAGTCCAGATGTCACCTGTGCCAAGATTGAGAAACAGCCCTTTTACAAATACATGTTGTTATTAGCACACATTAATTCATTGTGGCATTTCCATATATCCTATTCTGTAGCCCAGTCAAACTCCCTCCCTCCCTTACCTCCATCTTCATTTTTTTGTTGTTGTTGTTGGTCATGGAGCTTGAACTCTGGGCCTGGGCGCTGTCCCTCAGCTCTTCAGCTCAAGGCTAGCGCTCTACCACTTGAGCCACAGCGCCTCTTCTGGTTTTTCTGGCATATTGGAGATAAGAGTCTCACGGCTGGCTCTGAACCACGACCCTCAGATCCCGGCCTTCTGAGTAGGATTACAGGCATGAGCCACCGGCGCCTGGTTTCAGTCTTCATTCTTTTTTTTTTTTTTTTTTTTTTTTTGATTTTTTGGTCCGGTTGTGGGGCCTGAACTGTGAGCCTGAGCACTGTCTCTCAGCTCTTCAGCTCAAGGCTAGCGCTCTACCACTTGAGTCACAGCACCACT